TCTTCTTTATTTTTACTTCTAAAAGAAGGAGGGAAAAACCTGTTAGAATTTGTTGGAGGAAAAAATAAAGAATAAACTTAACCATACACGTGAATGGGTTGAACTTGCCCATAAAAAAAGGGAAGGTTTAGAAAACAAAACTCAACAACTTTCTGTATGTAATATGGATTGCTCTGGCCCTGTTTCTCATGGCCAGGCCAGCTAAATCTCCTCCACTGGGTTCCCCAGTACTTTGAGGGGTCTGGGGTGTGAAATGAAAAATTGATTTTTAATCCTATTTTGTTAAGACTTAATCAAGCTAGATTTGTTTCACTTAGCTGTTCCTTGTGTGTTGGTAGAGTGAACTGACCTTTCCCTAGCCTTAGACATAAATTGTCCACCAATCCTGGCAGGAAGATTGATAGCAGCTGCCCTGGAGCTGTCTTGAGCTTGGTGATATGATAGCAGTCTCAAAATCAAGGGCTATAAATTGGAACGCCTTGGAGAAGGGACCCACTGTTAGGGCTTCCTGGGCTTTATTTAGATTCATGAGCTGAGAACCAGGTCTGCGACTGGGCTCCTGAAGGCAAGGGCCAGGAGAATCAACTGAATCATGTGACCCCTTTTCTTATTCCAGGTCAATCCTGTAAACCGTGTCTTTATAAATTTAGCTACACAGAACTTTTAACTGAACTGGTAAAGATCTTTGTTCCCAGTTTGCAGAAATTTATGAGATTTTAAACTAATTAGGAACTAAAATATATGACTAAGATGTCTGTTCCACTCTTTGTCTAAATTATGAATTGATTATGTTTGTAGATGCTGTGTTTTTCTTGTCCTTCAAAATTGTAGAATTTGTTTTAGGAGAAGAAAAGACTATATACAGACTGCTTTTATAAGTGAGGGAGTTTTTTTTGTCATGTTTCATTGTTTCAATTGTCTCTGACTCTCCATGATCCCATTTTGGGGGATCTCTTGGTAAAGATTCTGGAATGGTTTGCCATTTCTTTCTCCAGCTATTTTACAGATGAAGAAACTAAGGCAAACAGGTTTAAGGGACTTGCTCAGGCTAACACAGCTAGTAAGTGTCTGAGACCAAATTTTAACTCAGGTCCCCCTGACTCCAGGGCTAGGGCTCTATCCACTAAAAAGTCATGCTTGGTAAGATTTCAATGACAGTTTACAATTTGCACTTTCTTCTTGACCAGGGGTGGGGAACATTTTCATGTTGGAAGGCTGCAGTAATATTTATTTAGCTATAATCAAATAAGGTGATATTCAAGAAACTTCAATTACATGCACTTAAAAATGTACATTATTTTGTAAAAATCTAGCTACTATGTACTTAATAATTTCAAAAAATGAAAACTAGTTATTAATTTTAAAGTTCACTAACCTTTTAATGACTTTGTTGTATCTACTTTTTTTGGAAAGCATTTGAATATTTGGTTGCATCATAGAGGTCTGCAGTTTCTGTTGACCATCTAGATGGGTATCAACCATTTGTGACCTTAAGGGTATCTTGATTTGGGTTAAGTAAGAGAATGTAGATTCACAGCAGTAAGTGGTTGAAAAGCAAGAAAGCATTTTTTGGGCATGTTGCCTAAAGTGTGGATATTATACTATGTTTTTCCACATTTCAATTGGATCTTTCTTAGCATCAAACAATGATTTTAAATGTCATCTACTGAGAGCTCAATTAATTCCATCTCTTGTTCTTTAGATGCCTTGGTGATATCAACTAGGTGAGACTGAAATGCTAATTTGAGTGTGAAGTCATGATTCTCAAAATCAGTGAGCTTTTCATTGTATTCTCCAATTAATAGATCTATAGCAACTGCATATTCTTCAGATGATTCACATATATCATCCTGCTCATCAATGACTTTTGCTAACTGGGAAAAATTTTCCTCTGAAATTTCCTTTGGAAGAAAAAGTGTTTTGAAAAAAGATAACTTTTTTGAAATGCTTGGATTTTTCTTTGCCACATATCATATATAGACTTAGTTTTGCTTTGCAAAGAAATATTCAAGTTGTTTTGATGTGAAATGATATCACACAGAAATGCAGCATTCCTGTAGGAATCCTCTTTCAATAATTCACATTGGTGATTCCGTTCTTCATAAAATTTAACCATCTATTCTCACAGAGATAAAATTTTGGCTAACATCTGTCCGTATGATAGCCAACATAATATAGAATGATATGGCAAATCCATACTGAATTCCTCATTGTTCAACTTTAGCATGTTACGAAGCTGGGCATGCCATGTTGCATTTGCATGAATATGGTAAACAGTATTTATAACTTGTTGCAAAGTGTCACTTAAAATAGTAGCTTTAGCGCAGAGATTTTGCTGATGCAAGATATAGTGAAAAGAAATGAGAGCCTCTGGATCTGTTAATACTCTTTTTATCTGTGCAATAAACTCTTCATGTTTTTCTGTCATGGATGATGCACTGTCTGTACATACACTCACTAAATTTACCAAATTCAGTCCAACTTCATGACATTAATCTTGAAAGTTGTTGAAGATATCTATTCCTGTGTTCTGTTCACAAGAGTGGCTAAAGTGAGTAACTCTTTGTAGCAAAGAAAATCTTCTGGTATGACCCAAATGAAGTATAAAACCTGTACCAAGTCAGCGGTATCAGTTGATTCATCCAAAGCGATTGAATAATACATATTTTCCTTTTGAAGTATTGTCTGAAGTTGTCTGTTAAGTTGAAGGCTAATTCATGCTGCCAATCAGTTATGGTTCTCCTTGAAAGAGGCAATTGTTTTTATTTTGAAATATTATCGGGGTCTAAGCATCCCTACAATTTCAACAATGCATTCTTCTATAATTTCTAGGCTTCTTTTTTCCCCCTGAGTATATAATCTACTTTTAAAGTTGCTTCAGTGGCATTATTTCCGGGTCTTATTTCTGCTTGAAAGAATTGTCTTTGCTTTTGCTTTTTATCTTTTAGTTTCTGTACTACAGCCTTTTGTGCCTCTCCTTTTTAATTTAAAATATTTGTAGTCCTTATGAGTGTTATAATGCTGATGAGCATTGAATTTCTTTAATGTTGATATTGCAATATCACAAAATAAGCAAATCTATCTTTAGCAGAAACAAAATAATATTGTTAATTGTCATTCCTCATTAAAAAAATCTGTTTTTTTCCTTCAGCTTTCTATTGGTCTTCTTTGACATGACAGGCTGTTAAGCAGACAGAATTAAAAAACTGTTGAGCTGTGCAACTATTCACAAATTACACTTCAAAGAGAAACACAGTACACCATTATCAAAAACTGATAACAGACTGGCCTAGCCAACTCCCACAAACTTTCATCAACCAGCCTCATCCAGCAGTGGGCCAGTCAAGCAAGGGAAGTTAGAACTAAGTAATGAGCATAGTAGCCATCAATTTAGCCCTTATGACTTACTAATGTTCTAATTGTGCCAGTCAGTCTGGCAGGATTATTTCATTGAAACTTATTTTACCCTTAGGTATCTTAAATACATTCATTTTAAAAATGAAATAAAAATATAAAAGACAAACAAAAATGTATTAATAAAAATAAAAGGATTTGTTCTGTAAAATTTGGATTCAGTCAAAAGGCTGCACTTCAGGACCTAGAAGGCCACATGTGGCCTTAAGGCCGCAGGCTCACCACCCCTGTTCTCGACCATGAAAGGAGAGAAATTTGTTTAACTCAAGGAGTAACTTAAGGGTGTGTGAAACTTAATCCTTACTTTTAACTAGCTTCGTAAAATTGATTTTAAATATTAGAAAGCATAAATCCACATTTAATTGAGCTCTGAAACTAAATTTTGTGGATTATGGCCATTTGTACTGTCCATCCCGGAATTTGAAGTATTGTTCAATTTCCAGATGAACCTCCTAACTGCCTTTTTTTTCCTTTCTTTTTTTTTTAGGCAACTGGGGTTAAGTGACTTGCCCCGGGTCACATAGCTAGTAAGTGTCAAGTATTTGGTCTGCGGCCAAATTTGAACTCAGGTCCTCCTGACTTCAGGACTGGTGTTCTATCCACTGCACCACCTAGCTGCCCCCTCCTAACTGCTTTTAAAAAATAGACTGGGCAAAGATGTTAAACATTATATAGGTATAAATTTGAATGATCTACATGATGCTTGAATTAACAACTTGGCTTTGTTAATCAGTCTCAACCAGAAATTAGGAAGTATTTTTTTAAGGATTGCACCCCCCTCCCCAAAAAAGAATTTCCCCAGATTGTGTGAGAAAGGAATTAATGAGTTGAAAGACACAGCCCAGTGTATCTATGAGGGAAAAGAAAAGGAAAAAGAAAAATCTAAGCCTAGGACCTAGGCTAGATGTTTCTACTGTCTGAAAGAAGGTCATGTTGCTAAGCATTGTAAAAAAGAAAAAAGAGATGGGTATCTTTATGAAATAGGTATTGCATAAAAAAAAGGATTTGGAATAAAACCCTTAAGATAAAACTAGTTATGAGCAATATCAGATACGGATGATTGCTGTGGAGCTTAATTTTCACGTTGTCACCCAATATTTGACATCAGGGCAATATGTTTAGAAATTGCAAAAATAAGTTTTGTCTTCAAAGCATAATATGATCAAGATTTTTCTCTATTGGACTTTAATGCAACTAATTTAGAATGTCAAAAATTAATATTTAAAAATATATGGTATTATTATAAAACCATTGTGTATGGAACGTTAAGAACTGAAAAATGCAACTGTCTTGATTTGGAAATTAGAAAAACATTATCATAATTTTAAAGACCTTGCCAAGCATTTAATTGGGTGTTTTAAAGAAAAGAGGAGAATAGTGAATCTACAGAGAAAACTTATCTAGAGTCTGAAAAGTGAAAAATGGATCAGCTTTTAATCACTCTTTCCCCAGGGAGTAACAAGTTTACTGTTTTAAAGGGGGAAGAGAAAAAGGGGAAATTGAGCCTGTTGGCAAGTAAAAGGGAAATTAAACCTTTTCTCAGTAAAAAGAGGAATTGAAACTGCAAACAGTTCTTGAGTATCAGTGAATTTTCAGGAGCAAGCTGTTTAAATTCATCTGGCTCTTAAGCACTGCCTCCAGGAAAAGAGAAAGTCTTGAAATCATCCTAAAAGTAAGCAAACTTCAATTTGCAAGAATGTTTTGTGGACTAAATTGTTTCAGTGAGCCACAGACAAATGCCTTAAATATGTAGATATTTAAAAGAGATTTTTTTTACACATATGAAGGGAAAGTATTTTAAAATAACGTTTTTAAATATAATAAGGACAACTGAAGGGACTAACTTTTATTAAATAGGAGTTACATGAAGTGCTTTACTCAACAATAGTGTCATTCCTGATTGTCAGTAAACTGGCCACCTACCACATTGTTGAAGCCACAATGAATATTTAAAAATTTTATTTTAATAAAATATTTTACTTAAATTTGGAAGGTACTGAATATGTTAGGTCAGAAGAGGGTAGTCTGTTTTAAAAGCTATTATGCAGGGTTAGCCTCTCTGGCACTTTGTTGCAATAGCACTTTACACTTACTATTGATCTTTGTTGTTGTTCAGTTTTATCCTATTCTTTGTGACCCTATTTGAGGTTTTCTTGGCAAAGATACTGGAGTGGTTTGCCATTTCCATCTCCAGTTCATTACAAAGATGAGGAAACTGAGGCAAACAGGGTTAAGAGACTTGCCTGGGCTGAGGCCAGATTTGAGCTCAGGAAGATGAATCTTCCTGACTCCAGGCCTAGCACTCTATCAATAGATACAACCTAACTGCTCCCAATTAGAAGTTGATCATCTAATTTTCCCTAAACCCATATAGGTCAATATACCATCTAAACATGATATTGTTTTATTAATGATATGAGGCAGTTGGTGATTTAAGTTGATTAAGGTTTACCTTGAAACTAAGGTGAGATGTGTTCTCCATTAGGGTAATTGTGGTATATTAGAACTTAATACAATCTGAATTTACTATTTGGCATTAATAAATTTATTGATTGCCTGACCTTAGGCATGTTATTTTGCCTCTGTTTATCTCAGTTTGTTAATCTGTAAAGTGGGAAAAAAAATAGTACATACCCCCAGGTTTTTTGGGAGGACCAAATGATATAATGATTGTGAAGTGCTTAATTAGAGCCTAATATAAATTTGGCAAATCATGGTATTGGAAATGTTATTGGAAAAGTAAATTCTCTTTTAATCTGGATATTCTTGGACTATAGATTCAGTTGTTAAAAGGATGATGCAAACATGTGTGAAAACTATTTGTTTGGAAACATAATAGATAATGGTAATCATTTTCTGTGAAATTTGATATAGCAAAAGATCTCATAAGATGTCCTAAGATCTTATCAGCCCTATTAGCAGTTTAAAGTGATTAAATATGAGGAACAGGCTGGAGTTTTGCAACATACTAGCAACTGGGCAAAACTTCAGTACTTTAAGATTTCAAGAACTAGCCACACACTCAGGCTAGACTGTGGCAATATAATTTTATTTGGAAATAATAACAATATATTTTAAGGTTCCCCATGCCCGTAAATCATATATCTGTCTAGAAATTTCAAAGAAGAGAGATTCTATTACTATCTCTGCCTGTTATACTACACTGTCCTAAGAGTCATGAAACCTTAACTTTTTAGTATTTGTTCTTAGTATTAATTAATCTTAGTGATTGTTCTAAGATGAAAAACTAAGGGGTAAATCTTGCTAATTTGTGGAAGAAGCTGTTTAAGACATTTAACTTTTAAGCCTACTGATCTCATTAGTAAAAGTGGGAGAAATTCTGATGAAAGAACATATAGAACACAGTTAGTAGCCTTCCTGCCTCTAGCTCATTTCTTTTCTCTCTTTTTTTTTGTTTGTTTTAGGCAATTGGGGTTAAGTGACTTGACCAGGGTCACACAGCTAGTTAGTGTCAAATATCTAAGGCCAGATTTGAACTCAGGTCCTCCTGACTCCAGGGCTAGCATTCTATCCACTATGCCACCTAGCTGCCCCACTCTAGCTTATTTCTAAGGAGCACATTTTAACTTTAATTAGAATTTTGTATATGAGAAACTTCACATTAACATTAACATGTTAACTTGAAATAAATAATAATAGACAGTTACCAATCATAATCTAGGCCTAAAATATTACATTGATTTTCTGAGAAGCTATGGGAAAACTCACAAGTTTGCTTGAAGTATAAAAGTGACTTTGTAATGATTTGTAATTATGAAAAAAAAGTTAACTATCCTAGCCTTACACTGTGATGACTGAATTTTTGTTATTTAAGATTAAATCTCATGGGATTTTAATTCAATATTGTTTTAAATTTTGATTCCAGGTATTATGGTCTAAATTGCTGTGAAGCCAATATTCTACCTTTGCAAAGGAAATGTCAGTGCTACTCAAAGAGAGTACAGTCTGAGGGTTTCCACAGGTGGATGTCTATGCCTGGGACAGTTGAAGGGATGAGCTTTCAAAGGTGAAAGTAGAAGCCTCTTGACTCAACTTCCCACTGTAATATTTCCTCTCTGAACATGAAAATTTCCCACAGGTAATTTCTGAGCCTGGCTCTTACCCTGTGAATATGGTGGAGCTTTTCTATATGATTGGCTCTCAATTATGACTCTAACCTGGATTCAAACAGAGCTGGGACGGGGGGGAGTGTTATTTTCCCCTTGCTATAACTATGTTCCTCCTTCTTCCTTTTATAGCAAATTTCTATGTCAGAGCAGGTGAACGCTAAAACATCTAAGTTACTGAGGGCTTATATTAAAAGCACTAAGATGCAGTAGGTAATGTCGATTCTGTATCTCAACCAACTAAATTACAGAATTGTTTGAGCTTGTCACTCCCTTAAGAATTGTGTGTTCATATATGAGAATAGGTTTTAGAGATCTTATTTTTTTTTTCAAGCTGATATAGTGATAATATCCTCCTAAGGGGAAAATTAGATTTAGATAAAGATGTAATATAAAATTTTTTCAAAATTGAATGAGGTGGAAGATTTATTTTTAAAGTTTAACTTAAAGAGTTTCAGAGCCCTGACTTCTGAATTGAAAGCTTTCTTTTTATGCACCTTAGCTTCTATGTCTACTTTGATAAATATTAATCTTTATTCAGAAGGGCTCATCTTACAAGTTGGGCCCTCATGGATTTATTTTCAAGATTCTCCTTTTAAAAATAGAAGAGAAAGTGAAACATCTTATAAGAAAAATAACTGTTCTGGAGAACAGATCAAGAAGCATAAACATAAGAATAATTGGACTACCTGAAATCTATGATTAAAAAAAAAGAATTTTGATACAATAATACAAGAAATAATTGAAAAGAAAATTATCCTGAAGCATTAGAACAAGAGTGGGAAGTAGAAATAGAAAAAATTCATCCATCACCATTTGAAAGAGATCCTATGAGGAAAACTTATAGGAATATTATAGTCAAATTCCAAAACCCCCAGCTCAAGGATGAAATATTAAGAGCAACAAGAAAAAGAACTATTTAAATATGACAGTGCCACAATTAGAATCACATAAGACCTAGCAGTGGAGACACTAAAGGACTGCAGGTCTTGAAACACTCTATATCAGACAGCAAAAGAACTGGGGTTCTGGCTGAAAATATCATGCCCAGAAAAGTAAAACATATTCTTGAATGAAAAAAAAAATGGACATTTGATCAACTGTCAGATTTTCAGGACTTTGTTAAAAAATAAACAAACAAACAAACCATGAACTTAATAGAAGATTTGAAATATAAGAGCCAAGATAAACATAAGGTACATACCAAAGACTGATTACAAAGGATTCAATAAGGACAGACTATTTGCCTTTTATATATGTAAAATTAAAATGTATATCTAAGACTGTCATTAGTGCAAAAGAATACTGCCTCTTCTCAAAGCATCCAAAGAGGGTAATGTAGCTGTCTCATTGACTCACCAATGGGCAGTTAACAAGAACAAAAGGACAGGAACAACAACTGTGTATGGGCCATAAGGAAACAAATATAAACAACTCTGACCATCTGTGACCACTTCAAACCTGTGTACTATGTGATTGATCCTGATGTCGGATCCCTTGGTTCCATTTCTCAAGTATTGCTTCCTAAATAACCCTTGTTGGAAGGGAACTGCTTTTTCCTGGGTGGATCTCTCTTGGAGACTCAACCATCAGCGAGACACTGCCCTCATTGGTGTAAACTGTTCACTTGAGATTCCTTGAGAACAAAGCCTCAGCCCGTTTCCTACTGATCCACAATCACATTTGGATAACATTCCCAATCCAAGAGTAGTTGACATGTTCCCAAGAAATAATTGCTGATCGGTAAAATGTTGACTAAAAAAAAAAAAGTCAATAGTATTTGGGTAGTTCCTAAGAAAGACTGGGGTAGACCTGAGTATGATATGTATATATGTCTATTTGTATATATCTATAGCTATATATAAATACATCTGCACTTAATTGCAGCCTTTGGGGGGAAGGAAGGGGGAAAAAAGAACAAAGTAAAAAATACACAGAAGAGAACAAGCAGAGATACTAGCTTACTACATGAGTCTGTCAAAGGGCCTGTGCCATGTCAAAGGGCTTTCCTAGCCTTAGGCCTCATAATTGTCTTTTGGCTTTGATAAATTGATGCCCAAGAAACTCATGGTAGTTCACAATAATTCAAATTTCTTATTTACAACATTTTAGCTCCTGTAATCATTACTTCAGCTTTATTAAACATTATGGAATGATAGACATAATGATATTTTTTACTTTACCTTGATTTTCTAACTTTAATCAGGCTAAATGATTCATGAGAGGTATTGCTCCCCAATCAAAGGGAGGAATTGTGAATTAAAAATTGATTTTTAATTCTATTTTGTTAAGACTTGACCAAGCAATTTTGTGGTGACTAAGAACTGGAAACTGAGATGATCATCAATTGGGGAATAGCCACACAAGCTATAGTATAAAATTATGATGGAATATTATTGTGCTATAAGAAATGACAAGCAGGATGATTTCAGAAAAACCTGGAAAGACTTATATGCATTAATGTAAAGTGAAGTAAATAGAACAAGAACATTGTACATAGTAACAGCAATACTGTACAATGAAGAACTTTGAATAGCTTAGCTATTCTTAGCAATACAATAATCCAACACAATCTCAAAAGACTCATGATGAAGCAAGTTATCGGCCACCAGAGGAAGAACTGATACTCTCTGAATACAAACTGAAACATGCTATTTTTCTCTTCCTTCCTTCTTTCTTTCTTTCTTACTTCCTTCTTTTCTTCTTTTCATTCTCTCTTTCTATTCAAGTTTTCTTATACAAAATAACTAACATGGAAATATTTTACAAGATTGCCTACTAACTCAGGTGGGGGGAAGGGAGGAAGAAAGGGAGGGATAGAATTTGGGACTCAATTTTTTTTTTAAATTTAAAAATTGTTTTAACATGTAATATGGAGAAAAATTAAACATTATATGAAAAATGAAAAAAAAAATCCTACTTCAGATTAAAAAAAAAAAAGACTTGACCAAGCTAGATATAATATTACTCTTTGCTGTTTCTAACCCTTACAAATTTACTCAGGTAACTAACCTCAGGTCACTTGGGTCAGGATTCTATTTTTGTCTTGTGACTTGTATCTCTTCTCTTGTCTTTTGACTTGTACCTCCACCCTTGTAACTTCACCCCTCACTCACATTCCTGAGAAATTTGCTTAACCTAAAGGTCAAGCTGATCCAATCTAAGCTTTTGTGGCAACTCCCAAATTCCCTGAATCACATGTTTTGTGTGTGGTTTAGAGGGTTTCAGAAGAGGAGGTCCAAATGTTGTAATATCAAGCTGATGTGAGAAGTTTTTACTTCCTAGCCAATCAGAAGAAGATATACCTATGGTGTTAGAAATTTTGCTCTGTCATCTTGTTAATCACTATAAAAGTCCCTATCAGTTTTCAGGCAGAGGTTTTGGTCATTAGGAGGCCATTGACTCCATTTATTAGTGATTATTAATGCCTTGCTAATAAATGGATCATGCTTGGTACTTTGTTTCAGATTTCTCTCATGACGAGGATATCTTTCCCCTATTGTTATTGGTCTGAGCCCTCTCCTGCTGTATTGCCCCATTAATAGCAGACCTGTGACTAGCACCCCAGTTCCATTTCGCCATTTAACATTGATTGACGTTTATAAAGGGACATTTTCTTCAAGGATATAGCAAGAACAAACACATAGACATTTCCCACAATTCTTCAGGAGTATACTACCTTAATCTCTAGGGAAGTTGGTTCAAAACTTAGTTCTTACATAGCATTGGTCCCATGAAGTTCATATCCAAAGGCAACTTCCATGCTAGATGAGACCTCAGCTCAGCTTCTGCTTGCAGGTAAATCCAAAAGTCATCCTGAAGGTCACTCCTTGCTTCTCAGGGCATTAGTGATGGACTGGATGCAACACTCAGTCTGGGCCCTGACTCAGATTCCTGTGGCTTGCACTTTCAACTTTTCCAAACTCCCAAAGTCAGAGACTATTTCTTTTACCAGAGGGAAGCAGTCATTGAGATTCCCCAGAAGTGAATGATGATAGGTACATTGACAATTCTTTTTGAATGCTTCTGAAATCCAAAGATTCTTCTCTTAACAACTCATTAGCCAACTGGAACCAGTTAGAATTTCTGTGTATGTCCACAGTCTCTTTAGGACATTTGCCTTACACTTAATCACAGTTCTCCCAGAACCAGGCTTCCCAGCTTCTCCATCTAGAGAGATGTCATCCTGGGTGCTATATACATGTGCCAGAGCCCTCATTACATGCATTCAAATATAAACCGAGCTTAAATAGCCCCATTCACAGAGACCTTGGATATAGTTACTGCCTCCTCTGTTAAATTCATGATATAACGGGAGTTCATCAGAAGAGAGTCTTTCAACTGCTAGACCTTGGGCCATTTCTATTGGGTTATGTGTGTTCCTATTCAATGCTTAAGAACTTGTTACTCTGGGATATTTACCTCTCTCTCCTACCCCTTATGACAACAGTGAGGTGATGTGTCAGTTAAAAAAAAAGACAACTTCCAATATTTCTTTCTCTTTCTTTTTCTCTCTCTTAAACCTACAGAGTGGAAATCCCTCTTTGGTCCTTTCCATGAGTTGGGGTGGGGGGAGGTACCTCTCTCATCACTCTTGGATTGACACATGGCAGCTACAAGTCCATGTGTTACCTAGATGAATCTGAATAAATTTTCATTCATCTTCATGCTTTTCTGCTTCTTTTATGTTTCCTTCCCCGAGTATAGGTGACCAAACAGACATCATGAGAAATGGATTCTTTAGAAGTGACCACCTTGTTTGGGAATTTCTCATATCTTCAGTCAGACCTGGTTGCACTTTGGAAGGCTCCCCCCCCCACACCCCTGCCTCCAGCAGCTATTACAGTGCTTATCAGAGAAAATGAACACCAGCAAAAGAATGAGCCCAAAGCTTGGCCTGACTTGCAATATATACCAGAAGACATGAACTCGAAGAGAGTTGTTCAATCAAGGCAGAGCCAAGATGAAGGTGTAATGCCCATCCAACAGCCCACTAAAAGTTCCTTGTTTTAATGTTTTAAGTAATTATCTCCCAGAAGAGCATATAATAGAATTCATAGGTTACAGTATTGTGTTTAAATCTTAGTCAATGAATGCATTTATTAAGTCTTCTGTGTTTTTTTAGCATTTTTTTCAAGTGAGGAAATAGCTATCCTATGCCTGATCTATGCTGTACATTAAGAGTCTCTCTACTCCCTTTTGGGGAGACTTTAAACAAAAGCCTAACCTCAGTGTTAAGTGATTTTCTTCCCCAGTTCCAGTGTAGTAGTGATACAAAGAGCCAGAGAGTTTGAGAAAAAACAGCTTCCCTTTAGGTGCTAGGCTGCCCCAGGAATGAACCCAGCTCACGTGTGTGATCAAGAGCTAGAGGCCCTTTTTAGAGGCAGAGGGCAAGTGCCCAAGTTCCCCCCTGCCAAGAAGTTCTATGCTGTTACAATAATAAAAAAGGTGATTTTTATTAAAAGAAGACATTCTGTGAAGGTATCCTGAGAGACTAATTTCCAACCTGGGAGAACTGAAGTGTTGGAGACCTGCCATATTGAGGAGGAGTTAGCAATTGGTGAGAGGTGACTCTGGCTGTGCCCTTTAATATGGCTGTGACGACTAATGCACATTGAAACATGTATCAATTTCTTTGCATTATTTGTTACTTTTAATACATCATATGTCCAGTGCCATTGATGTTTGTTTAAGCCTGTGAGCCTGGAGCTTGAGAATAACAAAGGAGAGAAAGCTTATGTGAAAGGAGATTTCTGTATATTTGGTAATCAGGTTAGGAGCTCAGAGTATATTGACAAATTATTGAAGATCTGTATTTGTGAGACTTTTTGAGGAAATAATAGCACAAACCCCTTGACTGTCTTTGAACATAATGTGAAGAATTAATAAGGTAACAAATCAATAGCAGGAGGGGAAATGGGATATTGGTGCATTTGTCTAGGAAAGCACCTGAAAAGTTTTGCTTTCAACACACTGCATATACCCACATGTTCATCCATGGGATTGCTTTAGATAAATTGAACAAAAAGCCTGTTACACAAAAACCACACAATATAGGAAGTTTCATACAGAGTTTGAATAAAGAGTTAAAATAGACTTTATTATGCTTCAGTTGAATCCAGAAAAGTAGAAATGACTATCATGATTTAAGACAAAGCAAAAGCAAATACAGTTAAGAGAGGTAGGCAGGAAAAATGAGGGACAAGCACATTATGCTTAAAGGCACCACAGACAATGAAACAGCTTCAGTATTACTTACACTTTTACTGAATACCATGGCATTAAAGTACCAAAGGAAAAGTCAAGTGAATGACAAGACCCAGATAGCAGAAAATAATATTAGGGGACTTCAGTGTCATGGTATCCACAGAGGACCATACATCTATAGCTCAGAGTCCATTTAAGCCAGGATTCTCACTTTACAAATGAGGAAATTAGGCCTTGGAAGGTTATATGATTTGTCCAAGGTCATAGATGGGGAATTTGAACCCACATCCTCATACTCCGTTCACTATACCATGCTTTTTCAGATTCAGACCAAGCTAACAGAATGACAAAGAAATAAGGATCTGAGCAGATTATTTTTTAAAAAGTTATAATAGACCTTTGTGGATTATTGAGTATGAATCTTAAAGTATATGCTTATTTTTCATCATTGTCTGACATTTTTACAAACATTGACAGTGTTCTAGAGTAGCAATTAAAAAAAATTATTATTGACCTTTCACAGTAAAATAATTTTTAATAATGCAGCTCCACATATTTATATATGGTAGTAATAATTATACACATTGCAAAACTTACACAAAAATAGAAATGAAAAAGGACGAGGCACAAAATAAATATTTAATTTTAGTGTCAATAGGAAACAACTGGATTTTATCAAGTAGAAGACCAACATGATCAGATCTGTTCCTTAGAAATATCAATTTGACGGATGAGTAGATGATGAATTGTAAAAAGGAGAGTTTGGAGTCGGAAAAATCAACTTACAGATTATTACAGCAGTGCAGGTGACAAATGATAAAGGCCTGAACTTGTGTAAGTGAGCAGTCAAAGATGACACTGAGGTTATTAGAACCTGGAAGAGTAGAAGGATGGTAGTCCCCTAGAAAGTGTTATGGAAGTTTGGAAAAGGGGTAGGTTGGAGGGTGGGGAGGATAATGTAATTATATTTGCAATGCAGATCACAAGCCAGCTACATCTGCTTATCCTGTGTCACCTACTCTGTCACACCCAAGAAGAAAAGGGTGGGGCATTATTTTTACTCCCCCGATCATTGTTCTGTGAGTACAAAGTCTGTTCTCCAACAATGCCTGCTGCAGCCATAAAATAATCTTCGGGGGCAGGTGGTGGGAAAAAGTTTTCTCAATGGCATGTGAACTGATGCTGTGGGGTGGCTGGGAACCCTGGGTAGCCAATGCTAGAATAAGTAAGGAGGAAATGAGAGATTGCACAAAGAAGGAGGTTGTTGGGGAAATGTTTGGGGTATGAGGACAGATGTGCATGAGCTGGAGATATGCCCAAGATTGATTATCACACAGAGAAATGTGACCTGTTGTCTCACTCTCAAACTGATTTATCACATAAGTGGGTCAGTCTGCAGCCCCTTTTGGGGAATGATCACAGTCATCTCATTTTGAAGACCACCTTGCTAGAGCATAAAGAACTCATCAATAAATGCAGACATTTAAATTAAATATACCCTTTAGAGACAACAATACAATAAAAGAGTAATCAGTGAGGAAATGTGAAAAGGTAAACTTAAATGCGGAATAATATTATCCTAAAGAATGAATGAGTGGGCCAAAGAACAAATAATAGAACAATAATATTAAAGAAAATTATATGAGACAACATGCCAGAATTTGTGAGCTGCATCTAAAACATTCCTCAAAGGAAAATTTATATTTCCATGTGCTATATAGACACAAGAAAAAAAAAAGACCAATGAGTCACACACACAGTACAACTAAAAAATTAGAAAATGGATAAATGAATCATCTCCAAACAGGTTTCAAAGTAGAAATGATAAAAATCAAAGAAGAGATAAACAAAGCTGAAACCAAAAATCAATGGTTTGCTTGCTGTTCCCCACAATACTCCATCTCTTCTACCTTTTCATTGGATGTACCCCATACCTAGAATGCTCTGTCTCTTCACTTCTGCTTCCTGCCTTCCCTGACTTTCTTCAAATCTCAGCTTAACCTCAGCTTCTACAAGAAGCCTTTCCTATTCTCCCTCCACCCCCACCCCACCTCTCCCTTACTGGATGCCTTCCTTTTCGGATTATCCCATTTAGAATATCTGGTTCTTCCCTCTCCCTCATTATACTAAAGACAAAAACTGCTCAAGGAAGACCCCCTCCTCAACTGCTCCCCTCTGCCTTATGACATGAATTGCTGGAAAAACTGAAAAGTAGCCTGGAAGACAATAGTTTTAAACTAACATTTATGAAATATAAATACAATAAGCTTCAAAAGGACCAGCACCTAAATTTTAAAAAATTACATTATCAAACAAATTAAAGCAGAACAGTAGGAAACAATTCTCACAACTATGGTTAAGGGTAAGATTTGTAAACAAAGAAGGCATAGAAGTGACTTGAAAAAGAGGAGATAAACAATGTAGAGTATAAAAATTTTAAAAAGGAATTTTTTTCCATAAAATGTGTCTAGATGTTATTAACTGGGGGAAAATGATCACTTCTACTCCTTTTTCTGGTTAAAAATTCTTATAGCCATGTTTGTGAAGCATATATGCTTTTATTTTCTTCAAATTTAAAAAATGGCCTGACTTTATATATTTAGGGTTTTATTCAATTGGTATATGATAGAGTATGCAGGTCAATCCATGGAAGATATAAACTAGGTGGGCACAAGACCTTAATCAGTTTTCGAGAAGCAAAGTACTTGAGTCAATGGATAAAAGCAGAAGACACCTCAAAAGAAATTATTTCATGATTGGCTGAATGAATCATATACATCTCTAGACTTGTGTATAATATAGGCAGCAAATTTAAAAACATGTAGTGTGTCAGCAAAGCAGAAAATATTAGGTACCTTTCAGGTTCAGAAGCACTATAAGGAATCATACCCTAGTGCTGATACTGAAAAGCACTAAGGGGAGAAGGACAAAGATTGAGCCTATGGGAAGTGCTCTCATTGCTCATGTCGCTGGAAGGACTGAATCAAAAGGAGAAAATACATCCAATCAGGAACTGAGAGGTATATTGAAGACAAACTAGGCACACCTAGGACAGAAAAATTCAAGCCTCTTTGAAAGCACTGACCCTTAGAGCCTGGCAGAGTGCTACATACACCTAAGGGGAATTTCATGAAGATTCTAAAAAGGAAAACAAAAGACTTATAGTAAGTAGGAACTATGTAACCCTTTGCCACACTACCATTGCGCTAAGTTTAAACCCACTTTTCCTTTAGAATCTCTGTGTACTTATGGGACTTATGCCCCAGATTTTTGGTGAGAAATATTTCATACCAACTATTCTTCATATAAATTAATATACTTAATATATTCTTAATATACAATCTTAATAAATATCCTTTTAAAAAACTAATTGAGACTGCTGGCTGATGGGAAATTCACAGGTAGGTCTTGTGAGTAACAGCACCAGAAACTCCAACAAATTTGAGGGTTACCCTTAGAACTTTGACAGAGAAGTAGCAATGACTCTCTGGGTATACAGCCTGCCAATGGCTGTGGGAGTTGAAGGAATGGCCCCAGAGGGGATTTAATATTACACCTATAATGCTAAATCCAATGGCCTTTTCTCAGTTGTCCTCCTTGATTTCTCTGCTTGATTGTTGACCACCCCCTTTCTGATGGGAACAATATCCCAAACCTTCCCTCTATGCAAATTAGTATATATATGTATGTATTTTTTTTTTCATAAGAGGTATTGAGACCATCCTTGAGTCTTGGTTGGCTTAGGGCACTGAGAATTCAGCTTGTTGACATCACTTCCTGGTTGCTGGAGTACAAAGTTGTCAAGAGGAGCTTGGTGATGACTGGCTGGTGGATCGTGATGAACAACTCAAGCAGGGGAGCTCTCCTAAGCTGAATCAACTTGAGATGTCTTCAGTTCCTATCTTTTCAAGTATCCTTCCCCTGTGGATAAATAAATATTTTGGTAATCGTTGAATGACATAGAAGTGTCTCATTTTGTTACATTATCAAGCCAAAATTATCAGGAGATTGGCCTGAGTCAGGTCCAGTCCAGAACATTCTTCTGGATCCTCTTTTCCCCTTGAGTTTTTCTAACTCTCCTCTGTCATGTTTCTCTTTCTACTTATCTGACCAATCCTTCCTGGTTTGCTTTTACTGGTTCATCATCCACATCTGATCTTATGAATATTGTGTACTTTCTTAAGCCCTTTCCCCCTTCTCTTTACAATCTTTCTTGGTGAACTCAAATTCCATGTATTTAATTATCCTTTCTATGCAAATGTCTCTCAGATCTCCAAATATAGCCCCCATTTCTCTCTTTATCTCAAATCCCAAAGCTCCAACTGCTTGCTTGACATTTCCACATATAGGTCCCATAGACATCTCAAATTCCACTTGCCCAAAACAGAATCTATTATCTTTCCCCCTAAACTTTCCTCTGTTCCTAATATTCCTATTTCATTTCAGAGCATCACCATTCTTTCAGTTAAATAGTCTATAATTTAGGAACCATCCTCAGCTCTTCAGTCTTCCTCACCTCACATCACAAAAATCCTAGAATTTTAGAGTTAAAAGAGATCTCAATGGTCATTAGTTCAACCCATACCTAAAAGGAATCTCCATAATAATAGACCAGCTTTTGTTTGAAGACCTCCAAGGAAGGAGAACTCACCACTTCTCAAAGCAGTCTATTCTAGTTTTAGATAACTCTAAGCACTAATGTTTTCCTGATGTGAAGTTAAAATTCGTCTCTTTGAAATTTTCATGAACTGCTTCTGATTCTTTCCTCTGGAGCCAAACCAAATAAATCTAATCCCCCTCCAAATGACAGCCTTTCAAATACTTGAACATACATATCGTGTACTGTTTCTGTATTTTCTTCTCCAGATTAAATTGTTCCTTCAACCAGTCTTAATATGATGTGGATTCATGTGTTATCATTCTGGATGTCTTCCTCCTAACACTCTCCAGCTTGTCAATGTCTCTCTAAAACTATGGCACCCAAAACTGAACACAATACTCCAGAAAAAGTCTGCCCAGTTCAGACTGTAGTGGAACTATCACTTTACATTTGAAAGCTATTCCTCTCTTAAATGCAGCCTAAGATTATAGTAGGCTTTTCATTTTTTTGTTTTTACTGCCACATCACACTGATGAATTATATTGGGTTAGAAGCCTCCTGAAACCAATTGCTATTTAATCATGTCTATGCTGTATGTGAAATTGATTTCTTGTGTCCAAGTATAAGACTTTACATTTCTCTTTCTCTCTCTGTCTGTCTCTCTCCATCTTTCTCTCTTTCTCTTTTTCTTCAACCCCCAATTAGTTGCTAAGTGATTTCAGTTCTATCTCTACAACATCTCTCACATCCATCCCCTTCTCTCTTAGTCACATAGTCATCAAAATACATCACCTCTCACAGGGACTGCTCCAACAGCCTTCTCACTGATCTCTTTGTTTCCAGACTCTCTCCCCTCTCCAATCTGTCCTTCACACAAGCTGTCAATTTGAAATTCCTGAAGAACAGGTCTGACCATGTCAGTCCTCTTTTAAAGAAACTTTAGCAGCTCCACATTACCTTTAGGATAAAGTACAAATTCCTCTGTTCAGCACTTAAAACTCTTCACAATGTAACTCTAGTCTATCTTTTCAAGCTGATTATAAATTACTCTCCTTTGTGCACTTTATGTTTTAGCCAGATTGGGTCTTAATGGCATTCCCCCTATTTAATATTCCCTCTCTCACCTTATGCCTTTGTATCAGTTTTTTCCATAAACATGAAATGATCTCCTCTGCCTCTAGAAATGTCTAGCTCCCTGCAAAGCTCAGCTCAAAGAAGTCTTTCCTGATTCCCCCAGCTGTTTGCACCACCCCTATCACTCTGTAATTTCTTTTGCTTTCTGTTTCTGAGGCAATCGGGGTTAAGTGACCTGCCTAGGGTCACATAACTAGTAAGTGTCAAGTGTCGGAGGCCAGATTTGAACTTAGGTCCTCCTGACTCCAGGGCCAGTGCCCTATCCACTGCACCACCCAGCTGGCCCTGTATATGTCTTTATAGTTATTCTGCATTTACTTATATATGAACATCTTGTATCCACTAGTGGAATGTAAAAGCAGGAACTGTCTTATTTTTGCACTTGTATCTCCATTGTCTAGCACAGCTCCTGGCATATAGTAGTGTCTTCATAAATACTTGTTCATTTATTGATTGATTGGTGACCTCCACTCATGATGAAAAAGACATTTGCAATGATGTTAAGAAAATGTCTAAAATGTTCATACCCTTTGATACATAGATCCCATTGCTAGGCATATACCCCAAGGAGAGCAGGGATAAAAGGAAAGGTCCCATGTGCCCCAAAATATTTATAGGAGCACTTCTTGTGGTAGCAAAAAACTGGAAAGAAAGTAGATACTCATAGATTGGGGGATTACTAAAAAAAAGTTGTGGTATGTGAACATCATGAATATTACTTTTCCAAAAGAAATGATAAATATGATGAAAACAGAAAAGCATGGGAGGATTTACATGAACTAATGCAAAGTGAAGTAAGCAGAACCAGGAAAACGATATGCACATGACTACCACATTGTATATGGAAAGAACAATTAAGTGCTACTATCTTCTTGCATATTTTAGATTCAAACCTTTATAAGCTCTCTTTGTTCTGTCCTTTCCAGTCTAAAGATAAATCTCCTTGGCAAAGATCACATAAGCAAAATAGGAGTTAGGCAACTCCTAATCTCTATCAGTTATGATCCTACTCTCTTCCAGAAGTCGATTAAGAGTTTCCTTATTGAGTTCAACTTCATGAGAACAGTAAGCCTTTTACTGAAAGGCTTTTATTGATAAGGACCTCCCATAGAGAATACAGACATACATGTTGGCATCTTGTTATAAGAAGACAAAAGTCAGGTTATTTATATTTTTATTCTTTTATAAAATTTTTTAATTCTGAGATTAATTTTATAGTTTGGTGTTTCTTTTGAAAAGTTAGTTACTCTTTCGCAGGAAAGAATTATCTTAATTTTGAAAACTGGCAGTAGAATGTAAGACCAGATAACATGTTTCATTTGATATGGAAAAATGCAATTTTAATTTTATGTAAAAAATTTTAATTAAATATTTTACTATTGACATATTCCAGAAATGAATTCTGTAATTTGAAAATTTTCAGATATTTACTTTATCATTTTTTTTATGACTTAAGTCTGGATTATTTGTGGGGAACTACCCAATCAGAGTAAGAGACAACATGGAAGGAGGGACCTTTTAGTGTGAGAAAGCTGGTGGGGAACAATGAAAAAATTAGGAATGGACCTGCAGAGAAATGAATAATTATCATTTCATATAGCACAGCAATATTCTTATACCACAATTTGTTTAGCCATTTGATGAGCATCTACTTCTATAAATATGTGGGACTTTTCTTTTTGTCATCTCCTTTGGGTATAAGTCTAGCAGTAGAATCTCTGGGTGAAAGGGTATAGACCAGGAGTGGGGAACCTGTGGCCTTGAGGCCACATGTGGCCTTCCAGGTCCTTGGGTGTGGCCTATTGACTGAGTCCCAGTTTTACAGAACAAATCATTTTATTAAGAGGATTTGTTCTGTGAAGTTTGGACTCAGCCAAAGGGCTGCACTTGAGGACCTAGGGGGCCACATGTGGCCTTGAGGCTGCAGGTTCCCCACCCCTAGTATAGACATTTTAGTTGCTTTCCTAGTATCATTCCAAATTGCTTTCCAGATGCCTCTGGTCACCTCCAAGACTTCAGAACGGGTTTTTCAAATCAATAACTCCTCCAATAATACTTTAATTTGCATATCTTTCCAAAATCTCTCCTATACTGTCTTCCCATCTTTTATCTTCTTTACCCATTTCTTCGTTACCAGATGAAATTCTGGGGATGTTTTAATTTGCATTTCTTATTATTAGTGATATGGTTGTTAATAGTTCATAATTCTTCTGAGAACTCTTGGTTCACATCCTTTGACATCTTGTGATTTCTTGAAGCTTTTCTGAGCCACAAGATAATTTTCAAAGTCTGATCCTATCATCCCAAGATAGCGACGATGAGTCATACCCAGAAGGTATACCCGGAAAAAGCATCTCATCTTGGAGTTCAAGGAAGTGCAAGCATTCTGTGACTAAGAGTCTCTGGTGAAGTTAATCAAAATCACTGTTGGATATGAGGCCCTGTAGTTCCTCTGACTTTCTCAGACTTTGCAACTCTACTATGTATCCCCGTCTTCTTGGGAAACAGAGCTAATACATTACCCTCTGGTTCACAGGATTATAGGATTTACAGATGGATATTGAACACAAATAGAAATAGGGGCCACTAAATTCTAAATTCTAAATTCTAAATAAGGACCTCTGTGTGCCACATTTTCACTTAGAAAACCACCTATTAACATTATCTATGTTCTACTGTATTATGTTAAATATTTCCCAATTACATTTTAATCTGGTTCCAGTTTACAGCCCACAATATGGCTCCACTGGGTGTTTGACACCCTTGATCTAGTCCAATCTCCTTGTTTGACATATAAGGAAACTGAAGCATAGTGGTTAGTAGTAAATAACCAGTAAGTAGCAGAGTCAGAATTCAAACCTAGATTCCCTGACTATAAATCTAATATTCTTTCTATTATACCATGGTAATCTTTGAGTTCTAGGCAGATCCATCAAGGTACCAAAATACCACAGACTCCTAAAGATAAGAGTGCTTACTCCATACAAAGGTTATCTATTGAAGTATCTGTCAGGTACTGAGAAGTCTAATACAACTCTGAGGACCTCAGACTCAGTTTTTACTGATTCAGATGCCTTAACAGATGTCACCTCCACTTATGGCCCACATTTGTCTTTTATCTTGTATCAAATGTGAACATGCCTTTATAAGCAAGTCACTGAAGAAAGGACATTTAGGACTGATAAATTTTATAGGTAGTGGGGGGAGGAAGGAATGTGCACAATACTATTGGTGTACCTGGTTGAAGGCAAACATAAACTTCCTCTGGGGTTTCTGATTCTGTTTTTGAAATGACAAGTCCTACTGGAAGTATGAGTTAAACATCCTGTGGAAACAATGTTGTTTACACTAACTCTTTCTACCACTTCCTGGGGGCAACAGTGATAGGGGAAATAAACTTAGGACTCTGGAGCAGAAGCAGCTTCTAAAGTGCCTGAGGGATTTTGGGGGTAATTTAGGAGAGAAGCAGGCTTGAAGTTGCTTGTTAGACATTTTATTATTTTGTTAGCCGTTGTTTTGTTATTATTATAGCCTAGCTCTTTGACTATCAATTTTATGTAAAGAGTGAACATTGACTGTAGTATCTAAGAATATGCTCCCTGTTATTGTGGAGAATCAATTTCATTATGTCAAGATCATCTGCTTAGGACTTACTGAAATATAGACTGTTCAGAAAGGAGCCTGGCAGAACCTCAGAGTTTGTAGGGATCTCATATGGTAGGGCTCACCAGTGGGTGGGGGCTCAGGAGCTGGATTCTGACTGGGTAAATCCACATATCTATTGACAGAGACTGAATTGCTCCAGAGAGGCAGAGTTGAGCCCTAGAAAGTCGAGGATTTCGCACTACAGAGAAAATTTACTTACTCACCACTGCTGTCCTAGGAGGCATCACAGATTGCCGGGGTGGAGTGTAGGATTCCCTAGACCCAGATCTTTTTTTCTAAACCAGAGCAGGTCAAAGGCTGTCAATACCACTCAGTAATTAAAGAAGTAATTTCTAATTATAACAAAACAATGAACAATTTTTAATAAAAAGTGTTTTCTCTTTTCTCATAAAAATAATTCTGCATAAACTGGATGCATTTCACATTAACATATAGGAGAAAAGGGAGAACTGAACAGAATAGTTAAATTTTCAATCCAGTGGATTTGCATCATATGGGTACTTACAAATACAAATTAAACTATACTCATTAAGCAAAAAGAGATACTCAGAAGTTAACAGCAAGTTAAAGAATACCTGAGGTTTTGCCTGCCATTCTATTTAATGAGCGCATAGCCAAGAGTGAGTTTGAGAAGGAAGATAGAAAGCTGCCCTTCCCCCATCTCCAGCCCCAGATGTAGTTTCCCCCTAATAGATGCTGCTTCCTCCCTCCAGAGGGAGGAAGGGGTCAGAGTGAAAGAGCAGGGGAGAGTGGGAAATGTGGGGCACCAGCCAGGGAAAGGGTGGCTCCTATTCTTCTTGGATTTTGGGCCCCTCTTCGAGCCCCATTCTGACCAACGGAACCCTAAAAGCCGAGCCAATCCTTTGCTCAAAGTTACTGGATCTGGGCTTCCTGACTCCCCTTACCTAGTGTTTGAACTTGCCAGAGGCTGCTCACTGGGGGGAGAGGGGGAGGGGAGGAAGGCGACTGGAAGGGGAGATGATAATTTTGAATATATTCGACTTTGCCTTATGAATTTTGCTTTTAGAACTTAATCCACAGTAAAATGTGACTCCACTGTAATTCAGTTACCCTTCCATCAAGGAGCAGTTGACCTCTAACTCCCTTCACTCTCTGTCTCAATTGTCTCAAACACAAGAAAGAGAAATCAATCTTAACCCTTAAATCATACACCAAAACTGAAACAATGATTATATTGAGAAGTTGGAATGAGGAAGGGATTGGGGTGGGGCTTGATCTCTCCCTCCTCCCTCCTCCCTCTTGCACCCCCTCCCCCCTTTTTCCTCCTCCCTCCCCTCTCTTTTCCCTTTCCCTCCCTCCTCTCCTTCCCCTTCCTTCTGTCTCCAACTTCCCCTTCCCCCACCCCTAGGTTCTGAACACTTCTTTTCATT